GTGCTCTTAGGAACCTTAAGTGCAGCAGAATTTTTTTTTGTAACCTTGGCCAGATCTGTGCCTTGCCACAATTCTGTCTGTGAGCTCTTCAGGCAGTTCCTTTGACCTCATGATTCTCATTTGCTCTGACATGCAGTGTGAGCTGTAGGGTCTTATATAGACAGGTGTGTGGCTTTTCTAATCACGTCCAATCAGTATAATCAAACACAGCTGGACTCAAATGAAGGTGTAGAACCATCTCAGGGATGATCAGAAGAAATGGACAGCACCTAAGTTAAATATATGAGTGTCACAGCAAAGGGTCTGAATACTTATGACCATGTGATATTTCAGTTTTTCTTTTTTAATAAATCTGCAAAAATGTCAAAAATGTTGTGTTTTTGTGTCAATATGGGGTGCTGTGTGTACATTAATGAGGAAAAAAAAGAACTTAAATGATTTTAGCATATGGCTGCAATATAAGAAAGAGTGAAAAATGTAAGGGGTCTAAATACTTTCCGTACCCACTGTATCTGTGGTCCAATTGTGTCCTTTGTACAAAGCTGTTTACTTCTTGAGTGGTTTAAGAATTACTAATTTGCTACATAACAGTGTTAAAAATTCATTAGTTCCACTAAGTAAATTTGGAAAACAAGGTAATGATTAAATGTCCCATATACAGTAAGCACATTTATTTTAGTAAACCTTTGAATGCATGGCTTGTGATGGGGAATTACATATGCAGTATAGGGAAGGCAAGGCAGCTTTATTTATATAGCTGTTTATTCATACACAGAGGCAATTCAAAGTGCTTTACATAGACAAAGAAAAAGAGTAACAGCATTAAAACCAGAATAAATTCAGTTAAAGATAAAACATTGTTAAAATATGATTGAACGAAAAAATACACAAAATCAAAGGTCTGAACAAGACTAACTGTTACAGTGCAGTAATACGTTGTTTAATGCCCCGAATACAACACAGAAAACAAAAGTGCAGAAGAGAAAAAAATCAGTAGAGGAAAATATCTCAGTACTTTCTCTACCACTGCCGCTGAGCAGCCAGAACGCCACCCTGACCGTTTGGACTTCATTTCCCATGATCGAGCCGGCGTTAGAACGTTACGTCGCGGTTCTATAAAAGCCGCCTTCTTTTGTCGTCACGTTCTCTTTCCGTTGCTCTTCCTGCTGTGAGGTACGGTATTCTTTAAACCTCAAACAGAATCCAAAGTAATCATTAAAGTTCACAAACCATCCACAGTCACTACTAATTTAGTTTTGTTAATTTTCACAGGAATTTTTCCACACGATGAGAGCCAAGGTAAGTCAACCAACTGGTGGCGATATTTTGTTGTGTTCTCTTCTCGCCCCAGTCAGTGTTGCTAGCTAGCATTTTCTGTGGTTCTTTACCTTGTCTGTTGGCCTAAAATGTTTCTTTGTCCT